AGCATCGCGGATCTCTGATTCTGCAGCTCATGACCCGATTCGCTACCTCCTTCATCTCCTCCATTGACGGAACGTCCACCGAAATCTCGACCAAGGAGCTCTGCGGTGGTGCCCGTATCTACTACATCTTCAACTCTGTTTTTGGAAGCTCACTAGACACCATTGATCCCACTTCGAATCTCACAGCGTTGGATATTAGAACGGCGATTCGCAACTCTACCGGTCCTCGGCCCAGCTTGTTCGTTCCCGAAATGGCCTTTGACCTTCTCGTCAAGCCCCAGATCAAGCTCCTGGAGATTCCCAGCCAGCGCTGCGTCGAGCTCGTTTACGAAGAACTCATCAAGATCTGCCACACCTGCGGCTCAATAGAACTGTCCAGATTCCCCAGGCTCCAGGCCAAGCTCATTGAGGTGGTCTCGGACCTTTTGCGGGAACGGCTCGGTCCCGCCTCGAACTATGTCGAGTCTCTCATTTCCATTCAGCGCGCATACATCAACACAAACCACCCCAACTTCCTGGGTGCCGCGGCGGCGATGAGCAACGTCGTCAGCGCCAAGCAGGAGCGCGAGCGCAAGAGGCTCATCCAGGAGGAGCGCGAGCGCCGGGAAAAGAGGCGCGTCAAGGAGCTTGGGCCCAACGGTACGGAAGGGCAAGAAGATGGCGAGGAGACTCCCGTCGCGGAGCGACCCGAGCGACCCGAGCCCAGCCTGCGCAAACTCGCCACCTCAAAAACCTCACGGAGCATGTCGCCCGCCGTCCACCAGGACTCCCTGGTCGGCCTCGGCGCGTCCGTCAACGGAATGCGCCCGTCGTCTCCGGGCATGAACGGACAGGGCATCGGCGGCGCCCGCGACACGTTCCTCAACTACTTCTTCGGCAAGGATGGCATGGCGCCGGTCAGCGCCCCTATCACGCCCACCACCAACGGCAGACATAGCAGCCACCCATCCGAGCCCAGCTTCTCGCAGAGTCTGCGCCGCGAAGAGAAGCTTCCGATCCGGACCGCTCCCCCCTCCGTGACGGACGACTACGATCCTGCATCCCGGAGTTACGGCTTGGCGTCACATCTGGTAAGTTATACACTCTCTTCCCCCCCCCTCTCCAGTGTACAACACTACAAACCGAACTCTCGATACTAACTGCAAACCGTCCTTCTCCCAGGGCGAATCCACCGAGCCCGCCATGACGGAGCGCGAGGCCATGGAGGCAGAGCTCATCCGCGCCCTCATCTCCTCCTACTTCAACATTGTCCGCGAGTCCATCGCCGACCAGGTCCCCAAGGCCATCATGCACCTGCTCGTCAA